TACTGCTTTCGCTGCTGGCATCCTTGTCCTACCCTCCTGAGAGGGCAGGTGCAAGAACTTGTGGGTGATTTGGACATGTGATTGCTGTGTCCCCTGGTGATGAGGAAGGTCCTGCAGCCCAGGCAGCTCTTGAGCACCATGAGAGCTCTGCAGAGCTTTTCCCCTGGGCTGATGTGGCCAGGCTGCTGTCAGCTACAGGGCCCTGACACGGCTTCGTGCGCGGGCCAGCAGGGTCCTTGCTGGCTTCTGGGAGTACTATGAGGCATCCACACCAGGCCTGCGGTAGGGTCTGAAAGTGACCTCCAGGGTGGGGCTCCAGGGACGCTATCTGATTCAGGGCTGGCCAGCAGGACCTGCTCCCTCATTCCTCACACCCACCAAGCCCTGAAGCCTGGATGTGGCTATAGAGGACAGGGAAGCCGGAGGATAACCCTAAGAAGCACAGGCCTCTTTGAGCAGGAAGGTCCTGGAGCTGTCCTGTGTAGGAGCCACCATGTCAGGAACTGTGGGTGTCGTCTCATCGCCGTCGTCATCATCTACCTGCTCTGGCAGCAGATGCTGGGCTCTGCGGATTTAGGAGGTCATGATAAGGTCATGAGTACTGCTGAAAGGGTGGTGGATGGGCCAGCCAACATCATAGTCGTGGGCACAGGCTCAGGCATGAGGCAGCTGGTGGTGGGTGTAGGGGGTGCACACAGGGGACTTGCTTGGTTGGTACAGCTGGGTACTTCCATGGCTCACGTCCGAAAGTGACTTGATACAGAGCTGTGCTTTGAAAACAGTCTCCCTGCCCCAGTGGCCCATGGCAACTTGGTGATGGTTCATACAGTGCCCCTTGCCCCTCTGCTTGGGTGTCCCCCAGCTCGTCAGCTGGCTTGTCCGTCGGGCCCTGCCTGTTCCACAGGCCTCTACAAACTCTGCACTGGGGTTTTTAATAAGACTGTACTATGCTCTACTCTGAGGTCTTGCTTTGAAAGTAATTAAAGCGTGGAGAGAGTGCGGGAAGGAAGCAGAGAAAACACGAACATTTGCATGTTATTCAAAAAGATTTATTTGTTCTTTTGAAAGGCAGAGTTACAGAGAGAGAGAGAGAGAGAGAGAGAGAGAGATATCTTCTGTCCACTGGTTCACTCCCCAAATGCCTGCAACAGCCAGGGCTGGATCAGGCCAAAGCCAGGAACTCACTTGGGGTCTCCCAAATGGGTGGCACTTGGGCCATCTTCCGCTGCTTTCTCAGGTACATTAGCAGAAGCAGGAAGCTGGATTGGAAATGGAGCAGCCGGGGCTCAAAATTGTGCCCATATGGGATGTAGGTTTTGAAGGCAGTGGCTTAACCTGCTGTGCACAGTACTGCCCCAGACAGATGCATTTTAAACCACATTGCCTTCTTGGCTGCACCCCCACGTCCAAGGTCTAGAGCAGCTCATGGCATTGGGTCCATAGCATTCTCTGGGTTACGATTACTTACCTTCTCTAAGATGATTTTTGTTTTATTCGGAGTGGGTGCACATGGCTCACAGTGGAACTGTGGCCACCCTCCCCGTTCCCGCCCTGCCCCCTGGGATTCCATTTTAACTCTTTCTTTGTAGAAGTTTTTGGAATTTCTGAAATTATAAGTAAACACAAACATAGTCTTATTTTTAGTCCCTTTTACACACTCACACACACACACGAGGAATATGCTGTCTTGCATCCTGCTTGTTTCACTTACTACGTTTCTTGGAAAACTTCACGCATCCTCTGTAGAGACCTTCCTGTCTCTTCTCTCCACTGTGGAACATTGCAGCAAAGCGTCCGTGTGCTTGGTGCCCACAGCTTGGTCAACAGGGATGCTCTCGGCTTTGGACGTGTGCCACGCTGGCTGGTGTGCGTGCTGGAGGAGCCTGGCAAGGAGAGCACTTGCCACTGCAGTGCAAGGCAGCGTGGTTGCTGCCCCTCGCGGGGTTGGGCCAGGACCCCCGCCCCCGGTGGCTGAAGCCTCTGTCGTCCGGGTCCCCAGCGGCCTGAGCTAGCTAAAGAGAGCCTGGGAAACACTCCCCAGAGTGCCCACCACCTTCCAGGGGCCTCTCCACATCAGCCCTCGGCCTGCCCTCTGGGACCCCGGTGCAGGACTCTGAGCCTAGGATACAGCATTCCCCGGGGAGCATCCCCTGCACTGAGGGCACATCCCCATGTGCCAGTGGGCTGGGTGGGCCAGGAGTGGGAGCTGGGGGGGTGGGGTACATTGATCCAGCACTACACACGTGCCACTGCTTTTCCCTGGCTTTGGCTAGAGCCAATCAGAGCGTGAGCTGGGGAGGGGCCTGTGATGTCTTCCACAAGGCAGAAAGTTGTGAAAGGAGCGAGTTCCTCTCCGCCCCCATATCCTGGAGTCTGCGGGGGCCTTTCTGGGGTAGGAAAGGTGCTGGGATGCTCGCTGGGGACCGTGGCTCTGGGCCAAAGCCTGAGAAACTGACCCAGTAGAGGTGGCCCTGTGAGGAGACCCCCTACTCCCGCCAGGGTCACCAGGTCCTGCGCTGTCGCTCCCCCTCTTCGTGGAGGAACGACACTAAGCCCTGCCTAGGCTTCATATCCGAGTCACGGCACCATTATGTCGCTCCCCCTCTTCGTGGAGGAACGACACAGGACCCTGCGCTGTTCTTCTGTCTGCTCGGCCCTCCCCGGGTTTGCTGCTGGTTCTTCCCGGGTTGGCTACTATCCCTTCCACCTCCGTGGAAGGGCAGTTCCCCCTGGCCACATTCCCCACTTCCGCAGGGGAGCGGCACACCGCCGGCCGGCTCTCTCGGGGGCTGCACAGGTGTTCCCCTTAGATGTTCCCCTTAGATGTTCCTGGTGCATGCCGTCTCTCTCCTCCTTTATAGTCCTCCTCCGCCAATCCCAACTCGGCTGCCCACACGCCGAGTACGCTGCTCTCCACCAATCAGGAGCAAGTCCTACAGTTTATTGGCTGAACTGGAGGCAGCTGCATAGAAGCTGTTTTCTCCTCTCCCAGCGCCATATTGTGGGAGAGCAGATGCATAGAATAAGTCTTAATTCCAGTAACTCAGTCCAGTCCGGATTGCTCCCCACACTGCGCTGGGGATGGGGTCTCCTCTGAGACCAGCATGATTGGCAACGGCTCCAGGGGCAGCCTCTCCAGACTTCCCAAGTGCTTCCCGTGGGCACGGCTCAGGGAAAGTGCTTGCGCCCTGCACCTGGGCACTGCTCCTGGCCTCAGCACTCTCTCCTGAGTATAGTCGTCCTCGCCCAGGCTGGCTGTCCACCGACCCTGCGGCAGTGTGAAATTCCTTCTGGTTACTGTGCGGCGGCCCCACCACCCGGCTCCTGCACTTCCTCCTGTCCCACCCAGCACAGCATCCTCCCCCATCCCAGTTCTGGTCTCTGGACTTGACTCCTCCCCTGGGGACTGGCTTCTTTCCCTGGGGAAGTGTCACGCAGGTCGTCTGTGTCCTTACACCCGCCAGTTTCCTTCCTCTCCGAGGCTGCGTAGTGTTCCCTTGTGTGCACCAGCTGCTGTTGGTGGGTCTATTCCTCTGTTGCTGGACGCTGGGGTTTCTTCCACCCTTTGGCTGCAGTGGACAGCGCTGCTGTGACCATTGGTCCACAAACGTTGTGCTCAGTTCTTTGGGATCTCTCCTTGGGGAGGGGCTTGCTGGAGAGTGGCATTTACTGTCTACAAGGCTAGCTTCCCCCCCAAACCCCGCAATCTGTGAGCTCCTTAGGCCTGGGCTCCCAGCCTTGGCTCAGTGTCTGTAAAGGAACAGGAGAGCTTCCTGGGGGAAGGGAAGCCTGAACTGGAGAATTAAGGGAGAATTAAGGGATTAAGGGAAGTCAGGGGGAGCAGGGGCGGGGGCGGCCTCCCCATGCCGGAGGCACAGGGCCTGGTCCAGAGCTGAGAGAAGTCCCACGTGCTGCGCTAGACTCAGGGGCCAGGGCTTCCCAGGCCTCTCTGCTCCTCACCCTGCACTGCTGTGGCCAGCCCGACTCTCTCTTGGCCGTGCAGCTTCCTGTGGACGCGGGATTGGCCTGTCTTGCCGGGGCCTCCGAGCCAACTCCCAGCTGAGCCAGCCCCTTTGGCCTCCATTCCCTCCAGGTCCTGCGCCCTCTCCGTCCAACTCCTGCATGGTTCGCCCTCTACCTGCAGAACCCAGCCCCCCCCAGGACACCCCCACTGTGGTGCTACCACCTTCCCACGTGAACCCCTCAACTTCAGGGATCAAGCTGGTTGTCTCTCAACCTGTCACCCCCAGGCCGGTCTGGCTTCAGCCATGCCCCATGCGCCTGTTGAGTGGAATTAACCCCCCAGAGGCAGAGCAGGCTGGTTCCCTGACCCCACTTCCCTGTCACTGGGCTGTCAGACACTGCATGTTTCCTGTCTGACTGCAGCTTACACACAGTGGCAAGAGGGGCGAGGTTCCGAGAGGCACCCTGGCTGGTTGATAGCAGTGCCTGGGGACTTGCGTTTTCTGCATTTCTAAACCTAATTTCTCCATCCACTGATACTCGCTGGGAGGCTTTATGACTTCCTCGATTATGAGCTTGCCTAAGTGAGCCATTCGTAATAATATACATAATTACATCAGGACGTGTAATGCAGCAAAAATGAAACCAGCATGGAACCAAGACGTGTCGGGAAACACACTGAACCGTGGTTTGCGTGTTTCATTAAGGAGTGATAACCTTGCATTTCTCCCTCTTCCCTCCCACAGGAGCAGTCGCTGGGCTCCAGTGACCCCAGGGGACTTCCCTTCCTTCTCCGGCAGTAGCTTTAATGCCACCAGTTGGGGCAGGGCTGGGGGACATTGGAGGGTGGGGGGACACTTGTTTGTGTGCCCCTAACTTCCGTACACTCAGCGTGTTGTCCCAGGGTGGGCTGGGCCATCTCCTGAGAGGAGGGGACACACCTGCTTTGGGGGTGGAGAGGTAGGGGTCTCTGCCTCGAAACTTGTGAACTTCTCTCCCTGCCCGCGGGGCTCAGCAGGAGCCGAGTTTTCCTTAACCTGGTCCCACCCCTCCCTGAAGCGCGGCGGCGAGGCCAGCGTGGAGGGCGTGCTGAGCCAGCTGGTCCTGGAGCAGCTGCAGCTGGCGCCTCTGCAGTGGGGTGAGTACCTCCGCATGACGCCAGTGGCTCTCGGTGCACAGGGAAGTACAGTGGGCGCCCCAGGCGTGGGCAGGTGCTGAGGTAGCCATGAAAACCTGGGGGGCAGCAGGCCCTCTGCAGGTGGGCGTCTGCGCCTGCAGTCCAGTCGGTGGGGGGGGTTCCTTTCCCAAGGCAGCAGAGGTGACTGCGGATCTAGAGCTGGTGGTCCGGCGCCTCTGCTGTGCCCAGCTCCCTGTGCGGGCTGCCGAGAGCCTTACTTGGAGTGGGTCTGGGTGGTGGAAGAGAGCAAGAGTGTGGCCACTTCCATGCTTTCGCTCCCTTTGCCTGCGCTGGCCTTGGCAGCTTCTCACACCAACGACTGTGGGGGTGCGTGTTCTGGAAACACCGTCGCTCCATTTGATGTTTTACCCTCAAGCGATGGCCATGGTTTAACACCTAGCACTGTTTGCACATGCACGTCTGTCGCCCTGTGACCTTTGACCCCAGCCTGTGCCTTTCTCAGTGGCCTCCGCCGTGCCCCTCTGAGATACAAGTGAGCGTTTCTGCTGCAGGGAGAGTCTTTGTTCCTGGAAAATGATTTCCGTTTTGGGTCGACAGCGAGCAGTCCCGTGCTGAGGCCCTGCGTCTTCTCTCCATGGAGGTGCTGGCAGGGAGCGTCTCCTCTTGATCTAGCCATGCGCTGGCTTCCACAGCCCCTGTAGCCTGCTGGAGGCATGTGGGCTTGATCCCAGGGCTTCGGGATAGAAACAGGCGTTTCTCGGGCACCTGGACTCTCCTGGCTGCTGTGCTGGGCTGGGGCCCCGAAAACCAGCCCTGTTCAATCCATAGGCAGAGAGAGTCCTTGGGGGAGGTAAGCTAGACTTCTGTGAGACAGGTCACAGGCAGGACAGCGCCTGTGCCAAGGAGAAGAGGGGTTCTGCTGGGTGGCGGGCAGCAGGTGAGGGGTAGCGGTGGCCCAGCCCCAAGCCAGGTTCTGTGTTATGGCACTGGAGCCTGGGCTAGGGGTGGCCCAGCCCCAAGCCAGGTTCTGTGTTATGGCACTGGAGCCTGGGCTAGGGGTGGCCCGGGGAGTGCTCAGGAGCAGACGCCCGGGGAAAATTCAGGTAGGAGGCCCAGCGGTGCGGGGTGGGGGGAGGCCCTGCATTCTCATGTGCTGGGGGTCAAATGTGCTATCTCTCGTGGACGCCTTGCCCTGGGTGAGGGCTGGCTGGGTGCTGTTCCAGGCATACTGTGAGGAAGAGGAGGGTGCTGACACCTGAGGGGCACGGGGCAGAGTTGGGGGAAGTGGTGGCTGAGCCTCTCCCGCCCCAGGCGCTGTGCAGACTGGCCCCACACCAGTCTGGGCCGGAAGCAGCCTGGGCATTTGGGCTTTGTGGATGAAGGTAGGGTCCAGTACTTCATAATGAAGGTCTCCTCTGCTCCTTTTCCCCCCTCCCCAGTGGTCCTAAGAATACCCTTTAAAAAGTTCTGAAGCTGGGGGAGCACTGGACGGAGCCAGGAGTCGGGCTGGCCAGGCACGCCTGGAAGCTGAGGAGACACAAGTGGGGTGGGGCCTACTGTGGGCTCCGAGTGGGAGGTGGGGTGGAGTGGGAGCAGGGGCCCTGTCTGGGCCACATTCTCTGAGAACAGGGGTCTTTTCAGTTGTCTCAGATTTCGGTTTTGGGTTTGCCATGTATTGGGTGGGGGTCGGAGGGGGTCGGAGGGTCCCCGAGCCTCCAGCTCTCAGGTGTCAGCCTGCCTAGCACGCAGGCTGCTCTGAGGACCAGTCATGGGGAGATGGCACTGGTGACTGTGTCTGGTGGGCTGCAGAGCACGGACTTGGTGTAATCACTCATGCTTGAGAAACCGCTGTCTTCATGCAGATATTCCTGTCATCCCTGGAAGATCAGCTCAGATCCAAGAGCCACGCAGCCGAGCCTGGGAGGGGCCTGGGAATCCGTCCCACTGACCCTCCACAGCCCTCGGCTCTGCCCCAGAGCCTGGGCAGCAGCTGGACAGCTCCCTGCCATCTGCAGGAAGCCGGGTCACCCTCAGAAGGAAACAGGGAGGTGCCTGCCAGGGGTCCTGGGGAGGAGAAGCAGTGTGGAAGGGGTGTGGCCAGGAAGGCAAATGGCCCAGCGCCCATGTCTGGGGCTCACGTTCATCGCAAGTGCATCGGGGTTGGCCTGGGCGTTGACTTCTTGTGCTGTCTCTGTCCTTGGACAGCTTGAGAGGGCTGCTGTGGGGTCCCGTTAGCATGTCAGAGGAGGGTGAGCAGTGTGGAAGGCAGCTCGTTTTGTCTGCCTTGTTGGAAGTTCAGCCCGGGACTTGAGACACAGCGTGTTGGAACTCTAAGGATGGTTTTGAGGTGCGACTGGACTTCCTTGTGCTGTAGCCTGGACAGGCTCCTCTGCCCCCACCCCACGTTCCCCTGCTTGTTTGAAGGACACCGAACACCTGCCTGGCCTAGTGGAGGCCTAAGTAGAGGCGGGTGAGGTGATCTGTGAATAGCTGTCTATTGCAGACCGCAAGGGGACTGACAGCGTGACCTATTCTTGTTCTAAATGGGTGCTTGAGAGAGTTCATGGAAAAATAAATGTATTCCCATTCCATCTGCCTGTGAACTCTTTGAAGCCCCCTGGTAATACCAAGTTTGGAGCAGAAAGCCCACCTGGCTCTGAAGTGGGTTGTGTTCCCTGAAAGGGCTGATGAAAGTGAAGCCGAGTGTATTGTCCCCCATGCCAGCTGGGCCGGCATTGTGCACAGAGCATTAGGCCGCTGCCTGCGATGGCGGCTTCCCTGTCAGAGCACTGGTTCAAGTTCTGCCTTCGGATCCAGCTCTCTGCTGATGCACCTGCGAAAGCAGCAGAAGGTGGCTGAGTGCTTGGGCCCCTGCACCCCTGTGGGAGACCTGAATGGAGTTCCAGGCTCCTGACTTGAGCCAGTGAACCAGTTGATGGAACATCTCTCTCTCTTTCTCTGTCTCTGGCACTCTGCCTTTATAAATCTGAATAATACTACTAATAAAGTCCCCAGTGAAGGAGGCGTCCAGCTGTGCCATGCCCTGGAGGAAGCCTTGCAGGGCCTCTGACACCGGAGACCCTGGGAGGGATCTCAGGAGGGGTCCGGGTTCCTGCTGCTGCTTGCACCGTTCCCGTGCGGCATTCTTCCTGTGGGCAGTGGACATTTGGGCCAGCTGCCTGGGCACATTTCCTGTGCTCAGCAGTACAGTGGCAAATACTGCAGGAACTGCCGCTTGTACCCTGGAGAGCGCACACAGCTTTTCAGACATAAGATGAGGACCTAGAAGATGTTGCTGATAAGGAGACATGAGCCAGGTCCCACAGGAGACCCTCCGCCAGCCTCTGGGTCTGTGCCGTGGTCTGCAGCCGCGGCCCCAGCCAAGGCCCCGTTCCTGTCCTTAGGGCACAGCAGTGTCTCCGGAAAGAGCCTGCACCGTATCGCCCTGACGGGCATGTCCTGATTGATGTAGCTATTATCCTATTTGTCTGCTTCCAGTGAACATACAGATTTATGTCTGTTTCTCTGGCCAGATCAGTGTTCCGGCCAGACTCCTAGGTCGCAGCTGGGACACGTGGAAGGCTCTCGAGATGGTTATTGTCAAATGAGGATGCTACTGCTGGTCACGTAGGGATGTTGTGGGAACTTGGACTTCTGGGGTGGCGTTTTCACTCGTCACAGGCAGAAACTGGGCAGAGGCAGAGAGGGTGGCCTCACTGGAGTCAGGTCCAACACCTCCTTGAGACATTTTAAACCACAGATCTTGCCATGGCTCCAGAGCCACTGCCCCTGCGTTCCTCAGGCCCCACGGTGTCTGCCTGCCCCCAGGCTGGTCTGACTATGAGGAGACACAATGAGTGTCCCCAGGGGACTGGGCTGAGAGGTGGGTCCCCTTTCTTAACAGGACTTGGTGGGCCCTGTGCTTGGAAGGGGAGCAAGCACCCTCGCCACCTGACCTACAGCCCCGGCCCCGCAGTGCCGAGGAGGAAGCCACACACAGACCCTAGAGGGTGGCTGCAGGCTGGGGCTAGGGCTTGGCTTCGCCCTGGTTGGCGGCGCTGGCCCAGTGCTGGGAGCTCCAGGCTGGTCTCGAGGCAGAGTGGCAGCAGCAACCTCACAGGGCTGTGGGGAGATTCCAAACCTCAGGAAGTGCAGCTGCTCGTAGACTCAGTGTTCTGAGGCTCAGGCTTCCTTCTGAGGCTCTCTCTCTTCCTCCGTCCCCTCAGGGAGCTCACAGACCGGGAGCAGAGACAGGAGGCTGTGGGGGGACTGTTGGGGGTGGGAGCAGCCTGGCTCCCCAGGGTGGGGCACCTTGCAGACTGCAGACAGCGTCTGGGGGTGGAGGAGGGCCGGGCTCAGCATCCTGCTGGGGGGCTGTCCAGCTGGTCTTGGGGGATCAGCGGTCAGGCAGAGTTCGCCAACAGGGAAGGGGCTGTGGGCCGGCCATTCTAACCATTGCAGCGTGGTAGTGCCAGGCAGGAGGTGAGTTCCGTCCGCCTCACCCTGGGCTTGCTTCCCAGCCCCGTGGTGGAGTGTGGCATCGCAGGGTCCCCATAAGTAGCCTCAGGACCGTCCCCTCCCCATCCCCTGTGCACTAGATTGATCTCCCTCTCAGACCAGCCAGCTCGGACCCAAGCTGGGGCTTCCAAGGGCTGATGGGCTCATTTCCTGTGTTCCCAGCCTCCATGTCGTGGGCTCCCCTAACTGTGCTGCCTGTGTCCCCGCAGAGAGTGAGCCGAGGCTGCAGATCACAGCATGTGGGCGCCTGCACGGTGCTGCTTCTGGGTGTCCCTATATTCACCCTTAGAGCCACCTCCCACAGGCCATTCAAGAAGAAAACGGTTGCTCCTTTAGAATGACCATGTTGCAAAACCTGTCACGTGCAGGAAGTGGAGTGAGGACCTGCAACTCTGCAGGGTTAGCGTCTCTCTGGGACGGGACAACACCACACTGCATGGCCAGGGGGAGACAGCTGGTTTCCTACAAGGATCCTCCTCAGG